CCCCAGCTCCCAGCTCCGATGCAGTACCTCAGACACAACACGTGGAGGCACTCATTAACTGCTTGTGAAATCACTGGTCTTTGTACTTGATAATTTATGGGCTGTGGAACTACAGAGGGCAGTACAATAACTTGTGTAGCTGTATCACCCTGCTGTTCTTCTCTGTACCTGGGAAATTTCCCACATATGTGCATGGAATCATTTCTCAAATGCATATTGTTCTGAGGTTTGGGGGTTTTTTCGGCCTGTTTGTGTGTGTGTGTGTGTGTGTGTGTGTGTGTGTGTGTTGCTATAACAGAATACCATAAAGTAGGTAATTTATAAGGAAAAACAATTCCTCATAATTCTGGAGGCTGGTAGATTCAACATCAAAGTGTTGGCATCCAGTGAGGGACTTTATGTCATGTCCCTGCATGACAGAAATCAGAAGAGCAAGACAGCATGGGGTACTGAACTCCACCTTCCTTTCAGGAGCCCTCTCCCATCCTGCTATGTGCAAGAGCTAATCCTTCGCAGGTTCCCACCTCTTCCCCTCTCCTACCCCCACCACTTTTTGGGGCAAGGTCTTCCTATGTAGTCCAAGCTAGCCTTGAACTTGTGATCCTCCTGACTTAGGTTCCTGAGTACTGGGATAACAGGCATGTACCTCCATACCCAGCAAGGTCCTGTCTCTTCATATTGGTACATTGGAAATTAAATTTCCACATGAGTTTTGGAATGCACAGACATTCAAATATAGCATATATAGCATATACAGATGGTGTGATTAATAGAACAGAAATTCATTTCTGAATGACTTTTGTCTATTATTTGCTCAATTAAATATCACAAGTAAAGGGCTGGGAAGGTGGCTCAGTGGTAGAGTGCTTGGCTTGCATGCATGAGGCCCTGGGTTCGATTCCTCAGCACCACATTAGCAAAAAGGAAAAAAGTCTGGAAGTGGCACTGTGGCTCAAGTGGTAGAGCACTAGCCTTGAGCTGAAGAGCTGAGGGACAGTGCCCAGGCCCAGAGTTCACGCCCCACAACTGGACCCCCCCAAAAAAAAATACCACAAGTAAAGCTATCGTTTCATAAGGATCAAGGGAATATTTTGACATCAAGTTAGTCATACTCAAAAAGACCAAGATCTGGGGCTGGGAAGGTGGCTTCAGTGGTAGAGTGCTTGCCTTGCATACATGAGGCCCTGGGTTCGATTCCTCAGCACCACATAAGCAGAAAAGGCCCGATGTGGTACTGTGGCTCAAGTGGTAGAGTGCTAGCCTTGAGCTGAAGAGCAGAGGGACAGCGCCCAGGCCCAGAGTTCAGGCCCCATGACTGGCAAAAAAACACCAAGATCTCTACCTCTTGATCTGTAACTACTCAAGAATAAAGTCCTGCTGGGCACTGGTGGCTCATGCCTATAGTCCTAGCTACTCAGAAGGCTGAGATCTGAGGGCCATGGTTTAAAGCCATCTTGAGCAGATAAACCCAAGAGTCTCTCTGATTAACCATCAAAAAGATAGAAGTGGTAGTGTGGCTCAAGTGGAGTGCCAGCCTTGAGTGGGAAAGAAAAGCCAAGCAAGAGCACAAGCCCTAGTACTAGTATTACTACCCGCCTGCCCCCTCCCCCAAACACACAGAATTGATTCTTGGGTTTATAATACCTGCAAGGGAGACTTAGAAGTACTTCCTCCTGACAGTGCGCTAACTACACTGGTAGGAAGACGGGGCAACACACTAACTTCAGCCTGGGGGAAGTGGAAAATGCTCGGCTATGCTTATGTACCTCGTGTTCCAGTTTTGCCTTTCAAAAGGGAAGCTCTTATTTTACTCTCAATGATCTTCATGAGCCTCTGGAACCAGGTGTGGTTGTACACACTAACAGTTCCAACCCTGAGGAAGTGAGGGCAGGATCATCTTGAGTTTGAAGTCAGTTGGGCCTAAATAGCAAGACCCGTCTAAAAAATACCAAACAAGCAAGAAAAAAAGAAGGGAGGGAGGGGGGGAGGGAACCTTCTTTTTATAAAAGCTGCAGACAACTGAAAAAGTTTCTACCAGCTCTGAGTCGACAGGATTGCGTAGGAGGTAGAGGCTCCCAAGGCAGGGTGGGCACTATCCACTAGAAGATAATGATCAGAATCTAGAGTGTCAGAAGGGGCTGAGTTTATCTAAGGGAGAGAACTTGATTTTTACAGGTAGTAGAGCTGAGGAGATAGCTCAGTGAGTGAATGCTTAGCTAGCATTCATGAGGCCCTGGATTTGATCCCTAGCACTGCAATAATTAAATAAGATGGAACAGCTACTGGGCACAGAGGACTGTGCCAACAGGGCTGGATGTCTTGGTGGTTGCCATCTTGGGAGGGGGTGGTTAGACAGAGGTTTCAAGCTCTCCTTCTTCTACTTTCCAAGTGCTAAAATTACTGGTGCTGGCCTCCACTTTTGAAAGTCCACCACAAGGAGAAGGCCTGGACATCCTGCAGAGCTGGCCTGTGCTGACATGAGGGCATGACCCCACCCGCGCACCCTAGCCAGCCATACACTCCCGGGGGCTGCGGGCACAGGCCAGCTGATGGAGCTGGAGCAGCCTGGGCTGCAGCCACCTATGACAGAACATCCTACAGTGTCCCTCTCCCCTGTCCAGGAGCAGCCCAGGGCAGCTGTGGCAGAGCTGTCTGCAGAGGAGAGGTTCACACCTGGCCAGGAGCTGCTGGTAGAGAAGCCCCACCACTGCACAACCCTGGTTCAGGTGCCATAACTGCCCCTCTGCTTGGTAGTATATTCTCGGGCAGTGGGTACTGGCTTTTATTTTGAAACATTCCAGAGTTGATTCTTTCTAGAAGGAAGGGAACTTGTTTCCTGCCCATCTTGAGACAGACTGCAGAGGTGCTGCATGAGCAGGACTGCTGCTCTAGATACTTATGGTCATAGTCTCTATAGCTCCTAATTCAGCATGGGGACTCTTCTGAGCATGCTCAACAGTTTGGGCTGTCCAGGCCTTAGGTGAGGAGCTTGGCAGAGAAACTGCCGGGCCAGTGGCTCTTGGGATCAGGATTGGAGTTGCTGTGCCTCCCGGCAGATTCACCAGATCAGAACCTTCCCCAGCTTTATGTCATTCCCTGAGCCCCTGAGAGAAAGATCCTTTTCTCAGCTGGGGGAGGGGAGGGGGCTCACGCCTGTAGTCCTAGCTGCTCAGGAGGCTGAGATCTGAGGATCGCAGTTCAAAGCCAGCCTGGGCAGGAAACTCCATGAGACTCTTATTTCCAATACACCACCAGAAAACCGGAAGTGGTGCTGTGGCTCTAGTGGTAGAGCACTTGCCTTGAGCTGAAGAGCTCAGGGACAGCACCCAGGCCCAGTGTTCAAGCCCCATGACTGACAAGAAGAAAAAAAAATCCTTATCTCATGGTCTTGCTTTCTTTGGACACAGGAATTTGCACAGGGCCATGGGGGCCATGGGTCAGGGACTGTTCAGAATGATCTGGTGATCCAAGAGCCACATTGCCACCTTCCTGAATAGATTTGTCACTTGTCCATGAAAGAATGAGAAAAACAAGCAAAATAGGTCATCTGAAAGCTAAGTGTATCCAGTGTTACATTTGCCCTTTATTGTTAAGATTATATGGTAAAGTTGGGCACCAGTGGCTTATGCCTGTAATCCTAGCTACTCAGAAGGCTGAGATCTGAGGATCACAGTTCTAAGCCAGCCCAGCCAGGAAAGTCCATGAGACTCTTATCTGCAGTTAACCACCAGAAAACCAGAAGTGGCTCTGTGGCTCAAGTGTAGAGTGCTAGCCTTGAAGAGTTCAGAGACAGCACCCATTGCCCAGAGTTCAAGCCCCAAGACTGACAAAAAAAAAAAAAAAAAGATTATATGTTAGGTTCTTTTTGAAAACTGTCAAACTGACCCTGTGTTTTCTTTTGCTTTTTTTCTTTTTGTCAGTTGTGGGGCTTGAACTCTGGGCCTGGGAGCTGTCCCTCAGCTCTTCAGCTCAAGGCTAGCACTCTACCACTTGAGCCATAGAGCCACTTCTAGCTTTTTCTGCTTATGTGCTGAGGAAAAAAAACCCAGGGCCTCATGCATGTGAGGCAAGTGCTGTACCACTCAGCCACCTTCCCAGCCTGACCCTGTGTTTTCTCTGTTGAAATGACAGTATTGTTTTGTGTTTGTCTCTTTGCTCTTTTGACTCTTTAACATCACATTACCTGGCAAGATACAATAGTGGCTATTGTCATGTTGGTCCCTCAGTGTGTGTGTGTGTGTGTGTGTGTGTGTGTGTGCGCGTGTGCGTACGTGTACGTGTATGTGTACGTGTGTACTCATCCTGAGGCTTGAACTCAGGGCCTGGACACTGTCCCTGAGTTTTTTGTTCAAAGCTAATGTTTTACCACTTGAGTCACAGTTCCATTTCCAGCTTTATGGTAATTAACTGGCGATGAGTCTTAGAGATTTTCCTGCCCAGATTGCCTTCAAACCATGATCCTCAGATCTCAGCCTCCTGAGTGGCTAGGAGTACAGGTGAGACACTGGCACCTAGCTCCCTCAGTACTTTTTTTTTTTTTTGGGGGTCCGGTCATGGGGCCTGAACTCTGGGCCTGGGCGCTGTCCCTCAGCTCTTCAGCTCAAGGCTAGCGCTCTACCACCACTTGAGCCACAGCGCCACTTCCGGCTTTTTTCTTTTTGCTTATGTGGTGCTGAGGAATCGAACCCAGGGCCTCAGGCATGCAAGGCAAGTGCTCTACCACTGAGCCACCTTCCCAGCCCTCCCTCAGTACTTTTTGATTTGGGGAACTTCCTCTGTTCAGTAACCCAAGGATTCTAAGAGCCATTGTTTCATGTTGGCTTGCTGCAGCTATTGGTAGTTCTCTGCCCTCCCTTGGTGGAAATGCCCCTCCTTTGTTTCATTCTCCCCCCTTCCCCTGTGTGTGTCACCTGGGGACTGGGGTTAGCAGATGGGTCAGCAGGTGCCTGTCCCATGCTCATAGAGGCGCTGTGGCTCTTACAGCCATGGACTTCCCTCAGCACAGCCAGTACGTCCTGGAGCAGCTGAACCAGCAGCGGCAGCTGGGGCTTCTGTGTGACTGCACCTTCGTGGTGGATGGTGTTGACTTTAAGGCCCACAAAGCAGTGCTGGCAGCCTGCAGCGAGTACTTCAAGATGCTCTTCGTGGACCAGAAGGACGTGGTACACCTAGACATCAGTAACGCGGCAGGTACCCCGTCAGGGCCAGGGAAAAATTGTGGAGGCCAGAAGCTGTGGCTGGCCTGGGATGTGCAAGGCCCTCTGGGGGCAGCATCTACAGGCCTACAGGTGTCCCAGGCCTCGCACACAAGTCTCAGGCTCTGAGCCTGTGGGTACCAAGTTCCTGCCATCTTTTGGGTTAACTGGGAATGGAGTGGTAAGAGGAGAACTGGCAGCTGGGCTCATGGTAAGCTGTAGGCCACAGCTAACAGGGCACAAGTCTCATCAGGAAGACAGAATGGGCTGGCCCAGTTAGCAGCCCTGGAGCCACTATTGCGGGCTAACCAGGAGTGGTGATGGGTGGCTATGACAGGGCAGCCTGGGCTGGGGCTGACCTGCAGCTGAGGAAGGACTGGGCTGGTCCTGGATCGGGGCTCCAACCTAGAATGATGAGAAACACTGTGAGAAGGTCAACTAGAGGTGGTGGCAGAGTTTGAGGAAGCTGGTAGTGGGTTGGAGCATTGTCCAGTGAAGTGCAGTGTTGGGTTGCTAAGGTGGGAAGGGGGGACAGGTGGTATGGCTAGGAGGGGTTAGCAACACTGGTGGAGGCCTGCCGCTCAGCTTTCTAGAACCCTTTGACCCTGCCATTGAGCGGAGGGACCCTGAGGTGGGTCTGTGACGGCCATGCTGTCCTCAGCAGGCTTGGGTCAGGTTCTGGAGTTCATGTACACAGCCAAGCTGAGCCTGAGCCCAGAAAATGTGGATGATGTGCTGGCCGTGGCCAGCTTCCTCCAGATGCAGGACATCATCACAGCCTGCCATGCACTCAAGTCACTCACGGAGCCAGCCAGCAGCCCTGGGGAAAATGCAGAGTCTTCAGCCATGGAAGGTAAAATTACTGGCAGGCTGTTCCTGAGAGGTGGCCCAGGAACCTAGCTTCCTAGTTATTTGCATTTTTCTAGGGGGGGGGGTCAGGTCGTGAGGCCTGAACTCTGGGCCTGGGCGCTGTCCCTCAGCTCTTTAGCTCAAGGCTAGCACTCTACCACTTGAGGTACAGCGCCACTTCCGGCTTTTTTCTTTTTGCTTATGTGGTGCTGAGGAATTGAACCTAGGGCCTCAGGCATGCAAGGCAAGCGCTCTACCACTGAGCCACCTTCCCAGCCCCTTATTTGCATATTTTTGCAGTGCTGGGGTTTGAACTCAGGGTCTTGTGCTTGCTAGGCAGGCCCTCTACCACTTGAGCTGAGCTCAGTCTGAAACCTGGCTTTTGATGGTGCCCTAATTCTGCCTCCAGGTCACCTCCCTGGGTCTTAGTTTCCTGCCCTGTCTTTGCCTTGGGGTGATAGTGAAGAATGCCAGTCACAATTTGGAAGGGTCCTTGGTCCTGCCCCTTTTCCAACTCTGGGCAGCAGAAGATGGGAGCCATGCCTGAGTCACTGCCAGAGCACATGGCAGGACTAACTCCTAAACCCTCCCAGACTGTCCTCCCCGAGCTTCCTTCCTCCCCTTGACATCTGAGGACTGCCCTCAGATGCTTGTGTGGGCCACACCAGTGCCCCTTCAGAGGACCATGACCTCCCTGTCAGTGCCCCAGTGGCCCCTGTGAGGTCTGTCTCTTGCCATGGCTGAATTCCCAGGGCCAGCCACAGTGGGCATGGAAACAAAACAACCCACTTCTTAGATGTAGGCCCAGCAGCACCCAGAAGAGCCACCCCACACATATACCCCATCCCCCCCAGGCAGTGGGCGTGATGGGCAATGGCAGGTCTGTCCTGTTCCATCTCCAGGAGCAGATAAGAGAGCCAAAGAGGAGAAAGCCGCAGCCGCTGCACTGAGCAGGCTGGACCAAGCGAGGAGCAGTGTGCCCACAGGCCTAGGCAGGGAGCCCAAAGAGGAGCGGGGTGGCCAGGCCAAGAGTGCAGCCAGCGGTGAGTTGTGCCTGAGGTCAGGCCTGGGAAGGAGGGCCCGCCGCAGGACAGGAGGTGGCATGGGCCCCTCCACTTAGCAGTTCACAGCCACCGACAGACCCAGCATTTGTTGTGCGGTGTGCACTAGCTGGACACCGGGTCCATGCAGCGTCTGGTGCCCCTCCAGGTGCGGAGCAGACGGAGAAGGCTGATGTCCCCCGGGGACCCCGTCCTGTGGAGCTCAAGCCGGGCCCCACGAGCAGCATGGCGGCCGCAGAAGCTGAGGCCGCCTTGTCGGAGAGCTCCGAGCAAGGTGCCCCCTTCCTGGCCAGCTTCCCCCCCCCTCCGCCGGCCCTGCAGCGCTGCCCCCCGGCCTCAGTAGGCGTCGGTCTTGAATTCAGTGTTGAGGTTAAACCCCGGGGCCGGGTTCCTGCACAGCCCCGCGCTGTGCACCCACCGAGGGAGTCCTGTGCCCAGCCCCGGCCGGCCCCACGCAGGGGTGTCCCTGGTCTCCCTGCTGGGAGAGGAGCCGCAGGCCGGGCCCACCCCAGGGGTGCTGTGCCCCTGTCTTGTAGAAATGGAGGTGGAGCCGGCCAGCAAAGGGGAAGAGCGCGCGGAGGAGGGGCCTGCGCCCGGCGTGCAGCTGCAGGGAGCGCGGCCGCCGCTGGAGAACGGCGAGGGCGAGGGCCCGGAGGACACCGAGGGCTCGGCGGGCACGGAC